TACAGCATAAGTGACGCTATGAAATAAATCTCGATACATCTAAAAGGATTGTAATAATGCAATTTATGTTCTCCACTACAGTAGAATTAAGTTAGAAATCAACACAAGAAAGAAATCTGAAAAAACCCCAAATATTTGGAAATTAAACAACACACTTCTAAATACTCAGTGAGTCAAAGAGGAAATCACAATGGACTTTAAAATATTTTGGACAGAGTAAATGAAAAATGCAACATAACAAAATCACAGGAGGCAGGTAAAGTAATACTTAGAGGGAAATTTATAGCTTTAAACACCTAAGTCAAAAAAAGCCCAAAATTGATCATCTAAACTTCAATCTTAAGAAACCACAAAAAAGAACCAAATAAACCCAAAATAAGCCAAAGAAAGGAAGTAATAAAGATGAGAGCAGAACATGATAAACTAGAAAACAGAAAAATAATAGAGTAGAATCAATGAAACTACAAATTTGGTCTTTGAAAAGATCAGTGAAACTGACAAACCAGTAGCTACATTGACCAAGAGAAAAGGGAGAATGTACATATTAGCAAAATCAGAAATGAAGGAGAGGATAGTACTATGGCCTCGACAGAAACTTGAAGTTGACCAACTTTATGTCAACAAATTTGGTAATTTAGATATAATAAATTCCTATAAAGATACAAGTTATGAAAATGGACTCAAGAGGAAACAGAAAATCTAAACAGACCTATAACAAAGAAATTAGAATTAGTAATTTAAAATGTTTCCATAAGGAAAAGCCCAAACCCAAATGATTTTAATGGTGTATTCTATCAAATGTTTATATAAAAAATAACACCAATCCTTCCCATACTGTTTCAGAAAATAGAGGAAGAAGGAACACTTACTAACTCATTCCGTAATGCCAGTATTATCCCAATACCAAAGCCAGACAAAAACACAATAAGAAAACTATAGATCAGTATCCCTCATGGACATAAATGCAAAAATTCGTAACTGCGTACAGAAGGTCCCCAACTTACAATGGTTCAAAGTTACAATTTTTTGACTTTACAGTGGTACAAAAGCAATATGCATTCAGCAGAAACAGTACTTCAGATTTTGAATTTTGATCTTTTCTTGAGCCAGTGGTATGTGGTACGGTACTCGGTTGTGATGCTGGGCAACAGTGGCAGTGAACCAGAGCTCAGATACACGATCACAAGGGTGAACAACCACTACACCTACAAGCATTCTTTGCCCATAGAACCATTCTGCATTTCACTTTCAGTACAGTATTCAATAAATTACATGAGATATTCAACTCTTTATTATAAAATAGGCTCTGTGTTATATAATTTTGGTCAGCTATAGGGTAATCTAAGTGTTCTGAGCATGTTTAAGGTGAGCTAGGCTAAGCATTGATGTTTGGTAGGTTAGGTGTACTAAATGCATTTTCAGCTTAACCATATTTTCAGTTTATGATGGGCTTATTGAGATGTAACCCCATTGTAAGTCAAGGAAGATCTGTATTAGCAAACTGAATCCAACCACCTATAAAAAGAATTATATACCATTATATACCAAATGGAATTTATCCCCAAAATGCACAGTTGGTTTAACATGTGAAATCAATTAATGTAATTAATGCACAGTTTAACATCTGAAATCAATTAATGTAAGGCAATTACGAAATTGAATGCTCTTTTCATAAGACTGGGGACAGGGTAGTGAGGTTCCACTCTTGCCACATCTATTCAGCATTATACTGGAGGTTCTAGCCAGTACAATTAGATAAGAAAAATAAAAGGAGTCTATACTGGAAAGGAAGAAGTAAAAGTATCTTATATGACATGATCCTGTGTGTAGAAAATCCCAAGGAATCCACAAAATCTACCAAAGCTCATAAGCAAGGTCACAAGGATCCAAGATTAATGTAAAAAAATCAGTTGTATTTCTATATATCAAGAATGAACAGTCTAAAAATGAAATTAAGAAACAATTTAATTCAGGGTGCCTGGCTGGCTCAGTTGGTTAGAGCATACAACTCTTGATCTTGGGGTTGTAAGTTTGACCCCTACGTTGGGTGTAGAGATTGCTTAAAAATAAAATCTTAAAAAGAAGAAATAATTTCATTCACAGTATCAAAAAGAATAAAATAGTTGAGGATAAATTTAGTAAAGAAGTATAAGATTTTTACCATGAAAAGTATAAAATATTGCTGAGAGAAACTATAGATCTAAATAATATGGAGAAGAAATATTACATGTTCATAGTTTGGAAGACTCATTATTCTCAAGATGGCAATTCTCCCCCAAATTGATTTATTATTAAAATTTTTTTTAATGTTTATTAATTTTTGAGAGAGGGAGCGTGAGCAGGGGAGGGGCAGAGAGAGAGGGAGACACAGAATCCAAAGCAGGCTCCAGGCTCTGAGCTGCCAGCGCAGAGCCTGGCTAGAACTCAAGAACTGTGAGATCATGAGCTGAACCCAAAGTTGGACACTTAACCAACTGAGCCACCCACGTGCCCCCCAAATTGATTTTATGAATTCAAAAATGATTCATATCTAAATCCCAGCACATTTTTTTAAATAAGACATTACAAGGTGATTCTAAAATTCACATAAGAAATGCAAAAGACCTAGAGTTTTAAAGAACTAAGGTTGAAGACTTAGACTATGTCATATCAATACTTACTATAAGTCTGGAGTAATCAGCAATATAGCACAAGAATAGGTGTAGTATCAGCACAAGGATAGGCATATAGCCAATGTAACAAAATTAAGAATTTAGGGGAAAAAAATCCTACATTGATTGTTAATTTATTTTCAACAAAGGTGCCAAGACAATGGGTAAAAGATAGTCTCTTCAGGACGCCTGGGTGGCTCAGTCGGTTAAGCGTCTGACTTCACCTCAGGTCATGATCTTGCGGTTTGTAAGTTCGAGCCCCACGTCGGACTCTGCTGACAGCTCAGAGCCTGGAGCCTGCTTTGGATTCTGTGTCTCCCTCTCTCTCTCTGCCCCTCCCTGCTCACGCTCTGTATCTCTCTCCTTCAAAAATAAACAAACATAAAAAAAAAAATTAAAAGTAGTCTTTTCAACAAATCGTGCCAGGACAGTTAGAAGTCCACATGCAAAAAAAATTATCTTAAATCCTCCCCTTAAACCACACACAAAAATGAACTCAAAATGGGTGATAGACCTAAGTGGAAGAGCTAAAACTGTAGAACTCTCACAAGAAAAACAGGAGAAAATCTATATACTTTTGGGTTGGGCAGAGTTCTGAGATATGACACCAAAAGCACAATCCATAAAAGAGAAAAATGATATATTTGACTTCATCAAAATTAAGAATTTTTGGTCTTTTTTTTTTTTTTAAATTTTTTTTTTTTTTTTTTTTTTCAACGTTTTTTTTTATTTATTTTTGGGACAGAGAGAAACAGAGCATGAATGGGGGAGGGGCAGAGAGAGAGGGAGACACAGCATCGGAAACAGGCTCCAGGCTCCGAGCCATCAGCCCAGAGCCTGACGCGGGGCTCGAACTCACAGACCGCGAGATCATGACCTGGCTGAAGTCGGACGCTTAACCGACCGTGCCACCCAGGCGCCCCAAGAATTTTTGGTCTTTGAAAGATGCTGTTAAGGGAATGAAAAGACAAGTTACAGACTCGGAGAAGATGTTTAAAATCATAAATCTGATAAAGGACTTGCTTCCGGAATAAACAAGGGACTCCTAAAATTCAATATTAATAAACCTAATTTTAAAGCGGGAAAACTATTCAAATAGACATTTTGCCTAAGAACATATACTAGGCACTTGAAAAGATGTTCAACTTTATTAGTCACTAGGAAGATGCAGTTAACAATATGAGATGCCCCTGGAATTATATACTAAAATGGCTATAATTAAAAACACAGACAATACCAAGTGTTGACAAGGATGTGGAGAAACTGAAACCCTCATAGAGTGCTAGTGGGAGTATAAAATGATACAGCCTCTTTGGAAAGCAGTTTGATAGTTTCTTAAAAAGTTGAACATAAACTTACTATATACCCCAGCAATTCCTCTCCTAGGAATCTACCCAAGAGAAATGAAAACATACTTCCTTACAAAGGCATGTACACAAATGTTGATAGGACACTATTCATAATAGCCAAAAATCAGGAATAGCCCAAATATCTATTAACTGGTGAATGAATAAAAATAATTGTGGTAGATCCACTCAATGGATTGTTATTATTCAACAATAAAAAGGAATAGAGTACAGCATGAATGAGCCTCAGAATCATGTTAAGAGAAAAAAGTCAGACACAAAAGGCCACATGTTGTATGGTTCCATTTACATGAAATGTGCAGAAAGGGTATATTTGTAGAGCAAGAAATCAGACCGTATGTAGGGCTGGGGCTGAGAGCGGAGCTTAACTGCAAAGGGGCACAAGGGAGCCCCTTGGAATGATGGAAAGGTTCTAACATTGGGTTGGGTGGTGGTTGCCCAGCTCTGTCAATTTACCGAAAATCACCCAATTGTACACATACAGTAGGCGAACTTCATGGTAGGTAATTTATATCTCAAAGCCATTTTTATATCTCAAAGGTTTTTGTGTGTGTGCTTAAATTTTGAGGGCTCTTCTAAATCCTGATGCAACAGGGATTGATTTGTTTACCTTGTCACACAGATGCTCTTATGAATTTAATCTTCCTCTCTCTCTCTCTCATAAGAATGACAGTTGTTAAAAGAAATACATACACGCCTGCCTTTGTTTCAGATCCATTCTTCCGACACCTCTTTGTGTTTCTCAGCTCCATCCAAGTGGCGTTTGATTTCGGCCTCAGTTGAAGTTCTAGTATTCGTTCTGTCAGTGGTCTTGTCTTTGACAAATTTCTTTTCAGGATGGTATTAACTTTAAGAAACCTCAGCATGGAACGGTCCTTATGTGCTTTTAATGTCCTTTGTTAAATCCTTTCATGGGTACACAGTCTTATTTCTGAAATGCACCTGGATTTTAATTATATGCTTGTCTTTCCTTTGAAACTAGAATATGCTTCTCTGGGATCACTCTATGATTACATTAATAGTAACAGAAGTGAAGAGATGGACATGGATCACATTATGACCTGGGCCACTGATGTAGCCAAAGGTAACAAAGCTTCCTGTGTTCTCACAGAATTGGTGGGGCACGTTTTCCCATCTTGATGTGGTGACTTAAGGCAGAAGATTTGTTCTTCTGTGTCTTTAGATGTTTCTTTTTCAGACTAAAAGTACCAGGAGTTCTGCAACTTTCTGTACAGATATTTTCATTGTATTTCATATTTTAATTCAAGTATAGTTATTTAACATACAGTGTTACATTCACTTCAGGTGTACAATATAGTGATTCAACAATTCTCTACATTACTCAGTGCTCATCAGGACATGTGCACTCCTTAATCCTCTTCACCTGTTTCACCCATCACCCCCACCCCCCCCCCAGCAGCCATCTTTTTGTTCTCTATAGTTAACAGGATTTTTGGTTTGTGTGTCTCTCTCTCCCTCCCTCACTCCCTCCCTCTCCCTCCCTCTCCCTCTCTCCCTACCCCGCCTCTTTTGTATAGATATTTTAAGTCCCTGCCTTTCCACTCCTGCATTCTTTTTCTCTCTTTACTTTATTTCTTTCCCTAAAACCAAGTCCTAACAAAATCCGTGGCTCCAGGGCAGCCATTTTTGCCACGTTTTGTGACATTGTAATTGACCAGCTTGCTTGATCAACACATTAAATGGAAAGATCATAATTCTGTTGTTCTGCAAGACTCCACTCAGACTTAGTATCCAGAAAACGTGATTTATTGTGGGATTAGTTCTACTCATTTTGTGTACATAATAATATGCTAAAAATAGTAACCACTTTCAAAAAAAAAGTTTTATTTGTCCTGCCATGTGAAAGCAATTCGGATTTTATTTTATATTTAATGTAAACTTGGAAGTCATCCTTGGAAATGAAATATTTTTAATACCCAAAACCCCTAAACAAGGTGCCCAGTTCTTTTTCCCTCATAAATTCCTGCATAGACTAATGCTTTCTAAAGCAATTTAAATTCCGTTTATTTTTATCTTTTCTTTTCCATTTTCCTAACTGAAGGTCTCTGAGTTTTATTTATAACTGTCAAAGTTGCTTTGGAAACAACTTAATCTAAATAATGAATGCTGATAGTTACGCTTGTATTCTAGCAACCCCTAGAAAGTAAGGGTGTCCAGATTTTACCCAGGCACTTCACTTCTTTGCATCTCGCTCGTCTAAGCTCTATAAGCATCTCTTTACAAAGCAAATAAAAGGATATTTAGCGCTCAGTAAGGAGAGCAACTCATACTTTGCTTTCACTGGGAAGTCACACAGTGACTTCCAAAAGTAATAGTCTTTCCTTTGGGGAATTATCTTGTCAGTTTTAAGTTTCATCAACACCTGCCAAATTCTTCAAATAGGGAAAGTGAAAAAAAAAAGTTTTTTTTTAATTTCATGCAAAATGCTGCTGCTGAACCATACTTCATTACCTTATAAGAATAACAAGCTCTGTGTTTAGGATGGTGTGCCTAAGGCTTTGGCTATGTTAATTAACTTAATTGTGTATTCATGCATCAGGCATTTCAAAATCAGCCTTAAATTTTGGCATTCTTAAAGACATTTTCCTGTAACATCATAGTCACTCCTGTATGTGTCACTAGTACACGGGAACCGCGTGTTTGTAAGCAGGGTGGTGTGCTATTTCGGAGAACCACCGGAAGCATTGTGGAAACACACTCACATAAATGTAAACGCATATACAGGCAGTCTCTGGCTTAAAGCACTTCACCTTACAGACATTTGCATTTAGGGTGCTCAGCCAATTACACCCATGTTATTACTTAATGGCACTTAGGATGGATAGACAGCAAACAAATCAACTGACATCAGTCACTCCGCTTCCTGCTGTGCACGTGCCACTTAAGCTTCCCTGGCCCTCAGCCTGTGAACCTCTTCCCTCCGGCCCTTTCCCTGCACAGTCCTTGTCTGAGGGGCAAGTCCCTTGGCTCCAGGTCAGCTCAGTCATCGCTGGGGTTTCTCAAGACGGCTGGCACTGGGTGTCAGAAGGACAAAGAAGAGAAAGAGCAGGGCTAATTAAGTAGTAGACTGGAACTCCAGGGACAGAGTAGGGATGGAGGGAATGAATAGACGGGGACTGCATGCCAGACTGCAGAGTAATGACATCACGTTTTCATGGCTGGCGAATTGCTCTAAAAGGCAAGTTCTAACATGTTTGGCCTCAGGTGAGAAGAATGAGGCAGAGAAGAAACTTGTTTATTTATAGTCCCAAGTAATGCTTAATATTTAAAACGGCCTATAAAAGGAAGAAGAAATCAGTGCTTTCAGAATGACTTCAGCTCTGTATGGTAAAGCTCTGCACAGAACTTGGAGAGTGAAAGGAACCTTGATTTTTATTGATTCCGTTTCAAATCCAGCCACGTAGCTTTCAGTTTGACCATGATCGAAAACATTGAAGCAACAAGATGTTGAGAAATCAAAGAATGAATAATTCTGTTCAAATAAGAGTTGATTCATGCATTTTGAAGTAGGTAGGCATTGCTTAACATTACTGCTGACAGAATACCTCCTCAAAGCCAAAAAGCAAAAAAAAAAAAAAAAAAAAAAGCCTCTCTTCTCTCTGAGTGGGAAGGGAAATGGAGGGCGGACCAGCAAGTAGGTCTGAACTGCTGTAGGTCACTCACCAGTGTGTCAAGGGAACGATTAAAACAGGTGAACCTGGATCCAGTCTGGTACTGGTCCTCCCTGATTCCAAATCTCCCCCAGATGACACCAGTCACTTCTTTGGGAACCCAAATCTTAAAACTGATGATGGCGTTTTTCAGCCTTCTTCATTGTCTGTAATAAAAATAAGGCAGAAGTATGGATGGCTCTGTAAAAACAAAGAGAATTTTATATGATTGTGATTACTGCTATGTTTATACACACTGAGTATCCTGTAAATGTATGTTATACATTATACACAAACAACTTATAATATTTTTTCTCAAAATATCTGCCATAAGGAAGAAAATGCCTATATTTAAAGCTTTTGTGTTGTGTTTTGAAATCATTACTTGTCAGCAGGTATAAAAACTATCTAGCCCTGCCTCTAATTGTAATTAAACAGATTCTACCTGAATTTGGTTCTTGAAACAAGAAAGAGGTATGACATCCAGTCCTAAAAATGATTAAAAGTTATCCAAATGGTAGCTATTGAATTTTTAGTTTGTAATATGTAGAATGTCATGTTAGAAGAACACTCTCCTGTATTCTAGCTCTGTCTTGTGTGAGATTGCTTAAATTACTGAGACTTCTGTCACCCTGACTCTTTTCAGTAATATCTGTATAATGCAGGAGTTTAAATTTTTAAATTTTCTTTGTTCTTGCATGGCTCTTCAATATTTAACAATCAGAATGATAGAAAAATAATAGATTACTTTAAAAATTAGCCTTAATAAAATTGAAATTTTCTATATACTCAGAACCAAAGCCTACTTATTATGTGTAAATGGATAATTCATTAACAAAAGGAGCTTGTTTGATTGTGGTGGTGGGGAAACTGTTTCATCCATTACTTAGAAGACAATTTGTGAAGAAAAGGGAAAGGAAATACTATATTTCAATAGAAAATGTTATTCTTTATTCTAAGAAGGTAGATAGTACATAAATACAGAAAAAGAGTCACTACCAAGAGGATAACTGTGAAGTATATATCTTTTAAAGTCTGATTTAAAACAGTAATGTATAGGGGCGCCTGGGTGGCGCAGTCGGTTAAGCGTCCGACTTCAGCCAGGTCACGATCTCGCGGTCCGTGAGTTCGAGCCCCGCGTCAGGCTCTGGGCTGATGGCTCAGAGCCTGGAGCCTGTTTCCGATTCTGTGTCTCCCTCTCTCTCTGCCCCTCCCCCGTTCATGCTCTGTCTCTCTCTGTCCCAAAAATAAATAAACGTTGAAAAAAAAATTAAAAAAAAATAAATAAAACAGTAATGTATAATTTTTTATTCAAAATAATAAAACTATACTTTTTATATATACATTCAGTTTACTGAAGTAACTTGATTTACATTCTAAATATGTTGGAGAGAATTTTGGAGTGCATTTAAATCTAGATTATCCTGAAGATTCATCCTTGTAAAAAGAATAAAATATTTTGCAACTCCTGTAAGTTTCTGTATCTGAGGATCATAAAATCTTTTATCAACCACAACTAATGAATCAAACCAGTTCTCCCCACCCGTACCCCACCAGCACTCCCAGGGGCTTATTAGAGTGAGTACTGAGAAAATAAATCAAGCTGCAGAAATCCAGATGAAAACTGAAAACCTGGGTCAGAACTTTGGCTGATTTAGAAGGCAACTTGTAGTGGAATACCTTAGTCATTGGAACACTTCTTCCGGTTGTAACTGTGCTATTTTTGTGCAGACTCCAGAAAATTAAGGTTTCCTTATTAGGTATTGTAAGAAGCTGGCTTTACCCACAATCAAACTCCAGCTTCTAAGAGACTAAAGCACATAAACTTTCCTTAGCGTACAAATTTTCCTAACGTAGATATACCCTGTCTCTATCAATCATGTAAGAACAGAACACATGAATTTAGTTTCTGCTGTTGAATCCTCTGCAAAAATATGACATACTGATGTTTGAAAATAGCTAATACTGATGCAGTGTTGAAAAATGATATTAATGGGCCTTTCTTCTTGTATGAAAAGGAATGCACTATTTACATATGGAGGCTCCTGTCAAAGTGATTCACAGAGATCTCAAGTCAAGAAATGGTAATGTAGCCATATGTTTTTATTTACCTATTTTATTATGAAATCCATGCACCTTGCTGTAGAGATAGGCTCATGCTTTTCAGATCTTTTGTACCCTGATGTTTTAACCCGTCACTGATACCATGAAAATCTTTCCAGTGTTTGTAAATATCAAAATTCTTTATTTTATTTTAAGAAGCTGCATAGTATTCCATTGTATGAATAGCACAGAATGTGGACATTTGGGGTTGTTTACATTTTTTTCTATGATAGAAAATGTTGAGCTTGATACTTCTCAGCAAAAATTTTCAACACATCCTTAATTATTTCCCTAGAATAATTTTCTAAAAGAGATGTTGCTGGATCAAAGCATGTAGTCATACACTTCTAGTCTTCTATTTTTAGATGGTTCTCTGTACTAGCAGTTTTGAGTTTTGTTCTTGTTACTTCTGAATTATTTGGTGTAAACTTTTGATGTTCGTCATATTACCTGGAGTAGTGCCCAAAAATGATCAACACATTTCAGAGTTTGGAAAGCAAAGGCTTTCTTTTTCTTCTTTTCTTCTGTACTCTTCAAAGTTTATTTATGATCCTATATTTTATAATTTAGAAAGTGAGTAGGGGTACCTGGATGGTTCAGCCGGTTGAGCATCAGACTCTTGATTTCAGCTGAGGTCATGATCCCAGGGTTGTGGGATGGAGCCCCATGTCGGGCTTTACATTCAATAAGGAGCTGCTTGAGATTCTCTCTCCCTCTGCCGCTCCCCGACTCTCTCTGAAAAATAAAAAAATAAATATAAAAAAAGAGAAAGCATTTAAAAATGACTGGCAGGATTAGACATTATTACCTTTAAGTAACAGAATGCTTCTTCTGTTACGTCACTTGGAAGCTAATGGATAAAGGCAGGGAGTGGGATTATTTAGCTGGCCCACACCAGCTGAAGTAAACATTAGAGCTTGTTACTAAAAAGAAAAAATCTTGCTGTCAATCCATTTGCATGCTTTAATTATTTACATGCTTTCCAAATGATTCTTCTAAGTAGGGAGAACTATTTAATTTTTTAAAATCTTTAAATCACTGTAGTTAAAATGGGTATATGCTACAAGGGCGATCCTTGCAATGGGTAGTTGGAGGAAGAGACAGACGCAGGGGATGGGCCAGGTGCCCTTGTTGGGACTCCAGGACTGTGAGGGTTGTTGCGGTGGAGAAAGGGAAGTTCTTGGCAGCTGCCACTCATCAGTAGTCCGGGTTGTACCCCAGGCTTGACCCTGACTGTTCTTTCCTTTGTCTAGGTCATCTCTTATCCTCTTATCCTTTGGCTCCTCACAGACAAACTTCCTAGAGCTAAGCACTTTTGAGAGGAGTTGGCTAACAGGAAGTTGTTAGGAAATCATTTCAATCCAGTAGGACATATCAGAGTCTTACGCCCGTAGATTTTTAGTTCATGCTCAGAATTTCATGCTAACAAGTTATTTGACTTCTATTTTTTTTTTAAATCTGCTTTATCAGTATATCCTGAACATATCATGAGATGACAGTGATTAAATTTTGGATTTGAAACTAATAACGGAGACTGTCCTGATTTTCACCAGTCACAATTTTTGCAGTTACTTGATGGGAAAACAACATACACATTGCAACAATATTGACCTAAGTTTTAGCAATTTTTTTCTGAAACAGGGAATAACAAGACTCTTTTATCTTCTATGTTATACCTTTTTATAATTTTGTTTTTTTTTAATTAAGCACTTGCTAATCTTACGAGAAAAAAGTAATAGAGGTATTTTAAAGAGTAACTGAATGTGGCATTTAACTATATATATATATGTATGTATACATATATATATATGTGTATATGTGTGTGTATATATGTTTTTTAAACTTATAGCTTGTATATGATATCACATTTATCCTTAGGCTATCTCATGCAAAGAGTATTTTTCCCACTTATCAAGGTCATTAGTAACAGCTAGTAAGTATTGATCAGATACCATGTTGAGGGCTCTGTGTGGCTGACAAAAGAAATACCAGAACAGTTCTTCAAGGTCTGCCTTGGGCCTCCTTGCCTCTTATGCTCTTATTCACCCACTGCCATAAAAGTCCCATCTGTGTATTAATGCTCTTAACAGACCTCAGCCTCAGAATCACATGTCTGTCTGCTTTTTGGGAGTGGCCGCACAGATATTCGTATGACTCGAACATGTATTGTGTTCACGTTGATCTTTTCATCTCTCTACCCACTAAAAACTTATTCCCGCATTCCCTTTCTCTGTGAATGGCAGTACCAATTGCCTAACCTAGAAATGAGATAAAAAGGGACAGTTTGAGTGCAGAGCTCCTGTTGTAACCATTGTACTGTATTGCCTCTTTATTTGATTTCATCCTTGAGTCCTCCCTCCCCGCCCTGCGTCTCATCATTTAAGCCCAGCTGATTCTGCCTCCAAAATGTGCCTTGACTCGGTCCACGTCTCTCCTGTGGTATGCCGCGGCCTTTGTACAGGCATCCTACAACCGCTTGTGTGCACAGTGATCTCCTTGCCTCCAGTTCTGTTCTCTCATATGCTCTCCCCTCTGCACATTTGACCATTTCAGTTCTCTGGTTAAAATTGTTCAGTGGCCTTCCACGTCTCACAAAGACTCTTCCAGACCAGGCCCCTGCCTTCCAAAGCTGCGTGCCTTTCCCTCCGCTCCTGACCTTCTGCAAGGCTCTTTTTTCTAAGAATGTGCTTTCCCCCTGCGGCGCTCCTCTGTCTGCTTAATCCCAACTTGTTCTGCAGGTCTTCGTGTAAGCACCATTTCTTCCAAAAACTTCTCTCCGACTTCCTTAGACGTAGATACCCCTGCTCTTTGGTTCTGAGGCAGTCTCTGTGTATCTCTCATCATAGAATTTATCCCACTTAATTATATACATTTTAAATTAAACATTTTAACTCCAGCATGATTAACATATGGTATTATATTAGCTTCAGGTGTCATCCCACTTGATTATAGATCATGGTTTCAGGGTCTCTCCCATTAGAGGGTAAGCTCCACAGAAGCAGAGACAAGCCAGTCTTGCTCATCTTCCTCTTCCAGAACATAGTACGTGGCCTTGCCCATAGTAGGTGCTCGGCAAAAAGTAGGTGCCCATAGTAGGTGCTCACAGTTAAGTGAATGAATGTGTGAAAGAGTGAATGAATGAATTTTGTCCCTGCCTATAAGAAAATCACTCTTCAGTTGAGAGCAAAAACTATATACCATGAAGTGATAGTGCTGATGCCTTCCTCAATATCATGCTGGCAGTCTAGTGGCAGAACCCAAGTAAAAAGTTTGGTTCTCTCTACAACTATTAATGCATGCCCTGTTTACTGGACAGTATGACATTTGGTGTAAACAAATGTTTTGAAAACCTTTAATCAGCAGCTCAAGGAATTCGTTTTTTGGTTTTGTTTTAATGTCAGCTTTTTGCAAAATCTTCAATGTAGTAAATACTTCAGTTTTACCTTTCACGTGCCATGTGGAAGATAGAAGTTTATGGCAGTTTTTTTCTTTCAGTATAAGATGACTCAAATTAGATGATTATCATAATTTTTCTTTCTTTTTTTTTAGTTGTTATAGCTGCCGATGGGGTATTGAAGGTAGGACTGTTTCTTTTAATTTTCTTCAAAAGTATTTCTAGGGGCGCCTGGGTGGCGCAGTCGGTTAAGCGTCCGACTTCAGCCAGGTCACGATCTCGCGGTCCGGGAGTTCGAGCCCCGCGTCGGGCTCTGGGCTGATGGCTCAGAGCCTGGAGCCTGTTTCCGATTCTGTGTCTCCCTCTCTCTCTGCCCCTCCCCCGTTCATGCTCTGTCTCTCTCTGTCCCAAAAATAAATAAACGTTGAAAAAAAAAAAAATTAAAAAAAAAAAAAAGTATTTCTAAACTTCTGATGTAGGTCTTTGTGACTGATAATTCTTTTATTCATCAGTAGTAGAAGGTTGATACTTGTTTCTCTCTTCTCAGATATGCGATTTTGGTGCCTCTCGGTTCCATAACCATACAACACACATGTCCTTGGTTGGAACTTTCCCATGGATGGCCCCAGAAGTTATCCAGAGTCTCCCTGTGTCTGAAACTTGTGACACGTATTCCTATGGTGTGGTGAGTTCATTTCTCATCTTTTGTTGCCCAAGGAAATACAAAAAGCAAACACCTACAGAGGGGGATACAGCAATTTAACACAGCTTTACGGCAGTGATGCTGTTTCCTGGTGGGATGCCTAGAGCAGTGGCCGACCCAGTCGCGGGGATGTTTCCTGTGATCACTTTTATTGTGTCCTGTGTTGAGAAGAAACCAGTGCTGCTTCCAAACAGCGAATTGAATGGACCCTGAAGTCACATCGGGCCTGACGCACTCCTGGGAAGAGTGCTGTCCTGGGCTGGACATGTGACTGTGCAATGTCTGTGTAAGTCAGTGGGAACGTGGGTCATTTGGAACGGGACTTCATTGTAGTAAGTTACTCAGAACACACCAGTAGATCTGCCACATGATTTCATTAACAGGAGATGTTTGAATGTCAACTTTAAGCTGACTGGTGAGTGTCTGGAGAGTATAGAAGGAAAAGTATAGCTTTTAGCACATGGCCTTGCCCATGTCTGCTGCGAGTCTTATAAAGTAGCGTGAGTCTCTGAAACATGAATCGAAGGTATCGTGTAAAAGTCACAACTTAGCAGCACAGTTACGAGAATAGAATGTGGGGGTAGGGGATGCTCAGGGAATGGAGACCACAGGAAAGGATCCCTTAAGGAGCAGAAGCTTTTGGAGGAGGAGTTTTGAGGTGGATCATTCTTGAGGAATAAGCAGAGAGAAAGAAGTAAGTGCAATAGGGAGACCGGTGGGATGGGAGGCAAAGATGAGCAAGGTGATTCTTTGGTAGTAGAAGGAATTCATTTGTTGCTTGTTTTTGTTTTGTTTTGTTTTGTTTTGTTTTTAATTAATTTTATTTTGAGAGAGAAAGAGAGTGAGAGGGGCAGAGAGAGAAGGAGAAAGAGAATCCCAAGCAGACTCTGTGCTGTCAGCACAGAGCCCTACGTGGAGCTCAAACCCACGAACCGTGAGATCATGACCTGAGCCGAAGTCGGTCTCTCAACCAACTGTGCCACCCAGGCACACTCCTGTTGCCCCTTTTTAAAGATAAGCTTTTTTTAATCCCTAACAATACTGTGTATCTCTTAAAAAGTCTAAAATAGTATTTGTAACTCCTTCTCTTTGGGTCTCACCCCTAATTGTAGTGCCTTTATATTTATATTATTACTCTTAAAAGGACATTTTCATAATAAGAAAAGCAGCAGACTAATTTTGGCCCAAATCAACATGGCTCTTCTTCCCAAACTTCTATGATTTCAATTGCGAGTGACAGCTGACGGCCCAGGAGGAGACCAGCATTGTTGAATGTATTCCTTTCGAGGCCACCAGTCTTTCAAGAGTCTTTCGAGGCCATCAGTCTCTAAATATTTACTGCTGGCTTCATTACTTAAGTTTTGGCTTGTTTTCATTGGTAAACTTTTTCTAAATTATAATACATCTTATGTACACCAAATTTATTTAATATAATAGAAATTAATTTTGTTGGCTATTGGAAAAAGCCTTTACAAGAATGAAATACATGTTTTTGGCAAAAGGCTAGAATTTTAAAGGCTGGAAGACAACAGTTGCTTCAGGCTAAATATCTCATTTCCTATAATTCTGGGTGTTTTTAAGGATGAAGGCTATAGGGGCCGCGTGGGTGGCTTAGTCAATGAGGCGTCTGACTTTGGCTCAGGTCATGATCTCGTGGCTCATGGGTTCAGGGCCCTGCATTGGCCTCTGTGCTGACAGAGCAGAACCTGGAGCCTGCTTTGGATTCTGTGTCTCCCTCTCTCTCTGCCCCACCCGTGCGTTTGCTTGTGCGCGCTCTCTCTCTCTCTCTCTCTCTCTCCCAAAAAGAAACATTAAAAGAAAAAAAAAACTAAAAAAAAAAGGATGAAGGCTATAAACTATTATAGACAGTGACCAAATAAGTCTCAGTGAAAGATGAGGAAAAAAACATAAGTTCCTAAAGACACTAGATTCTAAAAGTGGTTCCCTGTGTCAAAAATTATTACATTCTGACCATCCTCCAAATCATCTGCTGGGGAGCCTGAAAATGAGGGGATTGGTTGCAATTTCAGACTTTTTGTGAGATTATTTCCTCTTAGGAAGTTCTGTTCCTTTGTTTTTAAGCAATAATGTATTTTTTTGGTGCGTCAGGCACTGTGCTAGGCACTAACATCGGGTAGTTTAAATTGTATTTCGCCAGTCTGTTGCTCATCCTGTGGAACAGGAGCCAGCAAACTTTTCCTGTAAAGCACCTGATAGTAAATATTTTAGACTTTAAGGGCCACTAATAATCTCTACTGTGTATACTTTTGGTTTTTTACAGCCTTTGACAAATGTTAAAAGCACTCTGCGTTGTGCAGCGGGCCATGGTTCATTCACAGACTCCTCTGTGGAGCAGGAGGGAGGGGAAGGGGAGCACCACGGCTGGGATGGTTCGTAGAGAGTCATGTGTATACAGACATACACACACGTTTATGTGGTTATAGTTTTTAAATTCTTTTTGCACATTTATATGAACTGGAAGACTTTTGAGGCTCATTTTAACACTCCCCAAGCTCTTGTACAGCACTTTTACTTTTAAAATTCTCCCAAGTCTGGGACTTTCCCTATCTCAGAAATGTTTGCTCTGAAAGACAACTCTGAGTTACCTACAGAATGAATTTTTGGTTTCAGTGTTATGAAACATTTATGAAAACAAATCTCACACCACCTCCCTCCAAAACCTTACAGTTGCCAGGGGCTTTTGTGTGAAATGCACCCACTGCGTTTCCTGAGCTGAGACAGAATCTCGGTTCCAGTAACCAAGAATCTGTTCATTTTCACACGCAAACTATCAACGATGGTGGTGACTTCTGTTTGCCGTGCTTAGGATTTTTTCCTATATCTTTTTAAATCCCTTTCACTCATTCCTCATTGACCCCCTCATGTTACCCATAGTTTGAATCAACCTTTCTGAGTCTGCAAATGTTTACTTTATTAAAAAGCTTTTCCTTCAAGTGATTGCTCACTGCTTTTTTAGTAGGTGGGCCTGAACATTTCTCTTGGCGAATAAAGGTTTCTGTGTACTTGTTTACAGATCCTTCCTTTGTTTTGTTCTGAGGAACTTAACAAATTGCTTAACAGATCATTCTATCAAGTAATTTATAGCATGCCTGATAGCCAGTCGCTGAACATTTCCAGTGTTGCCCTATATTTACACACCAGATGCTTCACCTTAGAACCCATGTGCCCCAGTCACATGCTGCTGAATATCCACTCTGTGTTCATGATAGAGACTTCTTTTGACTGGTGGAAACTAAAACAGTATCTTAGAGAGGTTTACTTGGAACTCTGGTTATCCTTACCCATAGCTTTATCAACAAAATTCCATTCAGAAAATTGCACATACACTAACTTAAGTATAAATGAGAATTCAAGATTTTATTTAATTCCAACCTATTCCCATTCTGTTCTTGATAAACACCATTTAGTAAAAGAAATAGTACAAGGCATGCTCCTCAGAGTTTTTTGCTTAAGCAATCATAGCATTTTTAAAAAATGAAGAAAACATTACATGGTCAAAGTAGGTATTACCTAAAAGAGCAGTAGCGAATGGTTGTTAAGGTAGGGGCATGTTGGTTTTAGAAGTTTGTAATGCATAGACTTTGAAAGAGAGACCTACCTAGGAAAGCAAGGTGGTTGGTTATTTAGAACTTCTGATCTCCTTTCAAAAATGAGTGAGTAGCTAGAACCACTTGTCATTGAAGTATCTCTTTGCATAGAACAGAATTCCCATAGCTCATTGAAAATCCATCCTGGTCATTGAGCCCCGACACACATACATACATCGCAGTCACATACAGATGAGTAAGACCATAATAAAAGAGTTGTCCTTTTTTGAAATCCACCTCAAAAAAAAAAAAAAAACTAATATGTTTTTGCTTTTCATGTTTCTATTTTTTTCAGACTTGCTATAATAACGGTCCCCAGTATCGTCCAAGTCCCTGGCCCTCCGTAGCTTGATAAGCCTGTGTGGCTTCTTAGCACATGGCAACACTAACAGCCTGGTACAGCCTTAAAAATAAATGTGACACAAATCCCCGAAATGGATCTTGTGGTCCTTGCTTCTAAGCTGACAGACTCTGCTAGGCAGGCGATTGTTTCTGTCTCCATTTTACAAGAAAGGAGATTGTGCTACCCCCTTAGGGTGATTTCTCTTGAAGGACCAAACCAGAGGAGTGTGTAGTATGTTATCCACAAAAAAGAAAAGGCTGGAGGAAACCAAAAATCATTGAAAGAATAAGCCTTCTGAGAACACAAGGCCTCGCCACTCTTTAGAAACAAAGCTCTCCTAATGACAATGCAGACAGGATTAGCTTTTCAGAAGCTTCTGAGCCAGAACCACTATTTGAAAATAGAGTGGCTTAGGAGGGAGCATCACTGCCTCACTTGTCTATGAGCCCCGTTCCAGAACCAACCCGGCTCAGGTAATGGCTTTCCATTGTTTGTAAAAGAAAAGGCAGGAAAAGTACACAGCCTTGTCCAAGTTTCTCTGCAAGCTGAAAATAGAAAATTTTCCTTGTGAGCACAATTTAAACGTGAGCACGTCTCAGTATAGAATGAGTTGGAAAGTATTTTTAAGGGGAAAGATCACAATAATGTTTGGCCTGCATCCCCATCACTGGTATTTTCAGGCATAGTTTAATATATTTTTAGACTTCCAAATGACTTCCTCCACAAAGGACTTTTTTGTGCCAAACGTCATTGTGTTTCATGTAGAAACAGCTGTTGTCCTATATCATACCACCTATGTTTTGATACACGCCTACACCTGGTGAATTAGTAACAGGGCATCGCGGCAGGTGCTGGTGCTGGACTTTACCTAAAGAGCCCAGCGGCTCACGGTGCCCTGTCCAGATCCCATACGTGTGTGGCTGTCACAGGGACCCTCAGCTGCAGGAGCATGTCTGAGATACTAAAATGAAACTCTTATGTTTCCAGTGTTAGAATTCTTGGAGAAATAGAACTCAGATCTTTGTAGATTTTGGCTATTTTCCAACTGAATATTTTGGAACAGAGAATGACAGAAATCTTTTCCTGTATTACTTCCCAAGCTCTTGGTTTTGCATTTTACCTCATACAACGCAGTCAGCCTTCACGTGTGCGCCTGTGCAATGGGTTGTGCGTGCAGGCCACACTCAGAAAACGGGATGCAAGGCCACTTACCTCGACATTTGGGGTCGATTCACTGTACTCTTTCTCCTGAAGAAGGCCAAATCCTTCCATTTGCTTGCTGTTCATATCCCTTCCCCTCCACAATCCTAGCATCAGGGGAGTGGTAATTGCACTGAATGGAGGGGCTTCATTTCCTGTTCGTCTCCCTCCCCTGTGCAGGCGGGGTCCCAGGGGTGATTGCATACCTGTTCTGGTCTTCCTCAGCTTCCTTTACTTATAGTGCTTACTAGAATCATCCCCTTCCGGGATGCCCCTTACCTTTTCCTAATCACTTCTGTGACTCAAATAGAATTATTCAGCAGCTCTTCTAAAGAAGCACCTTACACACTTGATTAAAAGCCAAAAGAGGCTGCAGCGAATTTTTTTTCTCCTGCTTGAGCAGCATCTGCCGATTTCCCTGATTTTCCTGCTAATTATCTTCGTATTAGCCGGAGTTCATTTAACACGTTCTGATTCAAATATGACCGAGCGCTGGCTGAGGGAGCAGTGGATATAGAGTTAAAGGTTTGTAGGACCTGCTTGAATAGATGTCCTCAGTCAACATTCTTATTTAGAAATGGCTTTTGTTTTGTTTTTAGGACAAGAGAAATCTAAATCAAAACCGAATTCATTTGCTTCTCACCTCTGCCATGGCTCCACACCTGCACTATGACTCGTCACATTCTCTCTCATACTGCAGCCTTCTCTTCTCTAGAGTTATGTCAGGTTAAGAGCTTGACCTTTAGGGCAAGGCAGCAAGTGCCAATTGATAGCAGAGTGTCTTTCGGCAAGTTAATAATTTAACTTTCTTAGGCCTTAGTTTCCTCATCTGTAAAATGAGGATAATATCTGTTCGATGGGGTTGATATTAATCATGGTAACATGTGTAAAGGGTTCAACAGAGCATCTGGAACATAGTCACTCAATAAGTGATAGTGGTGGTTATGGTGATTTACGGGTAAAATTGTAATTGTGTTTGCACTTCACCGAATGTTGATAGACTGATTTTGATGCTCATTTGTATAGAGAAAGTCACCTGAATATAAAAATCTCCATTACTTAGTATTTTAAATGAAACCCAAAATATTGGCAGTTTTCAGCATTCCCAGCTTCAGTTTGCTTTCTTTGGGCATTCCAGTGCAGATTTATTAGTCATGCTGATCTCAAGGATTGTGGAGAGATGAACATACACATAAATTCACATACACACACACACACACACGCACACACTCAGCCTATACTTATGAACATAAAGTATTTATTACATTTTAGAATATGTAATAAATGATGTTATAGGGGGAAGAAAATTAATACCTTAGACCGACTTACTTTGAGAGCGCTTTCTCCAAAAACACAAAATTTAAATGTTACAGTTTTTGCAAGTACCTATTATTATGGGGTGAAGGGTTTAGCCAGTGATTCGGATTTAGAGCTCAATTTTTCTTTTATCAGACCATTACTGAACCTTTAAAACTACAGTTGAATTCCCAGTTATTATCTTATGGAGAAATTTATCGGCAATTGAAGGTGGAAAGAGTTTGACCAACAAAATGTAAAATCTAATTTGTGGGAATCTGTGAGAATTCTCGTAACTTACAAGATAAATTATGTAGGCCCATTGGTTTCATAAAATTTTAAGTCTGGCTCTAAATGTTCTGATTTCTAGTTTTTTTTTCTTTATAAAAATGAACAAAAAATGTATGTATATGTTTATATGTATATGTGTGTGTGTATATATATATATGTGTGTATATATATATATATATATATATATGAATATATACATTTTGCACAAGTTTCTACAGGTGGGGTTGGTTTTTGTCTGGTAATTGGATACAGTTAAATGTTAGATAAAGTTTCAGTAAAACACCAAAAATATAAAGTACAAGAATAAAAATTCCATTTTCTTTTTGTTCCAGGTTCTCTGGGAGATGCTAACAAGGGAGGTCCCCTTTAAAGGTTTGGAAGGATTACAAGTAGCTTGGCTTGTAGTGGAAAAAAACGAGGTAAGACTACGATTCTCCATTCAGGTACATAGATCAGAAAACAGTATTGGGGTTTTGCAAAAGACTTTTTCATCTTCTTCAAATTGAAAGTAAGTTCACGCTTATGGAAAGATTAGCAGTAGGAGCTAACACAAAGGGTCAAAGTGATGTTATTCCTCATGAATGGACCCTTTACATCTAATTGTTGCAGCTTCACGTCGTGATGCTGTAGATCAAAAATTGTACAAGTACTGTACTAGTTTCTCAGTCTCAATTGTAAAACCTAGGGGTTTGTTCTTAGTGATGAAAGAAGCCATTGCGTCCAAGGTAGGGGAACAGTTTAACTCCATCTCCTGCGTTTAGGACATCTTTTTTACTGGCCGGGAGTTGATATATCTGTAAGAGACCTTCAGCTACTTCAACTTACCTCTCCCAGCAGGAGTCACTATAGTACAAGAAACTGTCGCTTAGATGAGAATTTCAAAAATAAAAGAAGAAAAAATAGTTTCAAAAAAGGGAAAAATTACAGTTTTGCCACCTACGTTGAACACTACATTGAAGATGAGCTCCTCACTGGAATTGGCGAGGCAGTGGCATAACTGTTCCCTTCTTCATGCAGAGCCTTTCCATTTCAAAAGAACTTCAGTGGCGTAAACACCGTTTGTGCTGTGTCCCCAGCCTCGCTTTTCTTCTTCCCACAAATTGAGGCTTTCAGTTAGTTGGACCTATGAGCCTACATCAGAGAACGTGGTACATTCATATCAAAGAGAGCAACTACATTTTGAAAGGTTTAAAATTGTGACTGAAATGCACAGGCATGGAAATCCTCAGCATAAGGATGAAGCATCCAATATCAAGGTACTAGGAGAACTTAGATCAAGTAATGGAAGCATGCAGTTGTCTTTGCAATGCAAAACAACCTTATTTCACAAACCTTCATTTCCAGACCTTATCTGTGCCCTCCACAGAAGGTAAGAGTGTAACCTTAGCATAAAATAATTTGCAAAAAGGTTGACTGTATAGAGATATTCCTTTTTTCATGCTTTAAAAGAATTGGATTGATTTGCTCCCCATGTGAGTGCAGGAACAGACTAGATTAACCAAAAAGCTGCTATTGACTAAGAGAAACCATGTTTCCATAGTTTAGATCACATAATCCAGCTACCTTATTAATTTGTCCTCCTGAGCTATTGAGAGCGGATGAAATGTTCATGATAGCTGAACTTGATGGGAGAGAGCTGCCAATTTAAGAAAAAGGAAAAGGAGTTATATTCAAGAACGTGTCTTGCTCAGTGTTTCACAGGAGCTGTTCTGTTTTAATTAAATGTCATGGTTATTCCTGGTGTGCTATTAAATCAGACCTGGTACATAGAATAACTGATATTTTCATGATAGGAGAACCCACTTGTTTCTGTTCAGTTTCTTTTGCCAGTGAGGTGATCAGATGTTTGGTTCTGGGGTTACAAATGAGAGGGAAGAAAATTATTGACCCAATGTTGACTTTGGAGCAGAACACTCCATGTAATTTGTTTCCCTCTATGTTGTTCCAATATAAACTAGAAGAAAGTTTTTTAAAAGCCAACTGGGCCCTCCAAATATGTCTAAGAAAAACGAATTAATATTTAAAAATAGTACTTCATCTAAAGGATGGCAGAAGAGGTGTGAATCTGAAGCACTGTCAAAACATTGGAGTATCTCTCAAGGATTATTAAAGCTGTTGAGAAGAATGAATTTAGAAACTGCCTTTGGATAGCAGGCTTGAGGGCTGGGAATCACCCATAATCTTCAGAACCTCCCCACCATGTACAGGAAAGAGGCTATCTCCCCCCTTTCCCTGAAGGATTCCCTAGAGTAGGTTGTACTGTTTTATCCATGGTGTACATGATGGCCAGCTAATAACTGACGGAGACTACTCAGACCCCTCCCATTCTGGACATAGAATAGCAAATTGAAAGACCCCCCCCCCCCACGGTGACACAAGTTTTCCCAACTTTCCACTGAACTTGAGGAAATTTGGGTATTATGAGGATATTTCTCCTTCTACTCTCATTCTACATATTTATTTGTCAAAAATATGGCAGTTTAGCTGTAAATTCCATTGTCATCATTCGGGAAGGAGTCTTCATTTCATCTCATAAACGTAGACACTTATTACCAAAACAAATTCTACTGACATAACATTAAAATAATTGCCAAGTCTCAACTGGCAGTTTGTAGAGAACAAACTGAGGGTTGCTGGAGGAGGGGATGGGTTACACGGGTGATGGGTATTAAGGAGGGCGCTTGTTGTGATGAGCTCCAGGTGTTATGACGTAAGGGTTGAATCACTAAATCCTATACCTGAAACTAATAGTACACTGTATGTTAACTACCTGGGACTTGACTTAAAGCTTGAAAAAAATTTGCCAAGGATTTATTTAATTTCATAATAAAATCGAGACTTTGATTTAAATGTAATTTCCAAAATCCTTTCAACTTCTAATTATTTTAATTCACTTATTTTTACTTTGGAATATCTTGGGTTCTTGAGTTGAAAAGAGCAAGCTGTATTTTTTTTTTTTAACAGGCCTCATTTAAGTAAAGAATGATGTGTTTAAACTTAGCGAGACACTTTAAATGTAAGCTACTCATGCTAGAATGCACCTATATTCAAATATTAGAATTGTCTCTTCTTTTTAACTTTTATTTTGAAATAATCATAGACTCACAGTAAGTTGCAAAAATATTAGAAGGGATTCTGTGTATCCTTCACCCAGCTTCTACCACTGGTGAGATACAGGTGTAGGCCAATACCAAAACCAAAAAGTTGACATTGATACATTACTCTCAACTAGACTCTAGACCTTATTTAGTTTCACCATTTAGGACTGCTTTTTGGATCCGTAGGAAGATCAATACTTTCTAAAAATATCTGAAGGTCTTTGCTTCCAAGTGCTTAATAATGAAATAAGGCCTTCAAACAATTTTTCCTAATATTAAATCCTATTACAACTAGATACATAAAGCACTGGTAAAGCAAACAGTGAATCCTTACAGAAGTCCTGAAAGTAGGAGGGTATTGCTAGTAAATTTCATAATTCTTCCAGACATGTATGTTTGCCTTTGTTATTTCCATAAAACTCAGTTAGTGGTCATTCAGAATATTCTAGCAGGATAATTTCTATCTTTACAAGTACTTAGATTCTTACAAACTGTGTTTTGTTCTTAGTAGCAAAGCTACTATTCTTAATAGAAATCCTCAAAAAGCTTAATCCATTGTTGACTATACTTTAGAAAAAGATAAATTATTAAGAGTAATTTTTTGCATCTTATGTAGAACATGGTGCAAAAAGGAGTATGACCTTTAAAAAATGTCATGCATAACTTAGTGTTTGGGAAATATTTTAATTTAAATTCGAAACTTTTAAAATCTTACCGTTTTGAAGTGTTGCAAATCTATTGCTAATATTGTGGCCATTTCAGGATGTTTTAATGCAGTAGGAATACCCACAGTTAGGTAATCAGGACTTAAATGCTTTGGATTCCCTTTTAAAGTACTTTGTATATATATATATTTTTTAAGTACTTTTTGACGCACCAAAATAATCCCTTACATTAGCGCGTGAGTTTAGATTTAGCTGATATTTGACCATATCAGATAACTTAAAATAATTATATCTTATTTCATAATGTCTCAAGATTCAGTAGCTAAAAAGTTTTTCAGTGAGAAAAGATGACAGAAAATTAACATCCATATTCGTCCAGGTCACATTTCAGTTCTTAGAAAAAATGTGAGAAAGTTATATTGAAAATGTTACCTTTTATGAGAAATTTTTTTGCCATGGAGTGGATTCAGCTGAATAGTTGCAATCACTTCGTTTTTCTTAGTTGCTACTCCCAACCAGCCATCATATGTATGTGTGTGTATGTGTGTGTGTGTGTGTGTGTGTGTAAGTAAACACCCGATTTTCCTTTTGATCTTCATCAAAAGGTTTCCAGTAAAATAGGAGTACGGTTTACCATATATTACAGTAAAATAAGAGTGCAGGTTACTACATCTCCTCTGTTCTATGTAATCAATTAAAAAGATGTTTAGCATACCTTTAACTTGGAGAGGGCTGTTTTGTTTAAAACTTGGTTATAAGGTTTTATTTTGGTTTATTTTAATTTTAAGGTTATCTGTAATTCTAAATATAGATCATCTGTTTTCCTGCCAGAATAACTCTTTTTCTAGTTTTATACACAGTCTCCCCCAAATCCAAATAAATTCAGTTTAAGCTTTTTATTTACAAAACTTCTTCAGTAAACAATACTGTGGAATAAATCTCAGTACTTCTTAGTGCAGCAGTTCTCAACTCACACCCAGCGCTCTTTTGATAACAACCCTGTTAATGGTCCCTCTACTTCCCTGAAATGAAATTCAGAGGTAGTGCAACCTACCCATTATACACATTATATTTTAAAGTTAACATAATGCTCTAACTGTAATAAAGAAGAAATCGATGAAAAAGGTATTGCAATGTATAAATGCACAGGCATGGCCACAAGAGAGGAGAGTGTGGAACAATTTTAGATGCTTGTCCCTGCAGGTAAATAGGATTCAACAGCTACACATGCAGAGTCGAGCTGAATTGTATCAGTGATTCCAGCAGCATGAGCAATGCTGTTGCAGGTGATGTTTTCCAAACATCTCGGTAAGGTTATGAGTACTGCAAAGATCAGTCTGCTCTTGATTTATCTTATTTAGTAGTTGCATTCTTAATTCATTGTATTTTAAAACTGCTCAAAAAATGTGTTTATAAATCCAAGAGCGAGTCTGAGGTCAGAAAATGATAAACCTTGTTGTTTGCACCCGGAGCATCTGGAGTTTAGTGGAGTATGAGGGAGTACTTAATCAGGGATTTACAACACAGTGAAGGATGTCTAGTACTCTTGACCCATGCCAGGTGCAGCCCTCCAGTCTTTAAAACAAACAAAAAATGCCTCTGCAGATCTCTAGAGAGCCTCCAGGGACATCGCAAGTCTAGAGAACCACTTGTATAAAATGTTGGAACGGGACTGATCCTCACATTATAATCCCTGTTGTGTCCAGTCCCTGCGGTTTACCCGTAAGGGGTCATACATTCAGGATATCCTCTTTGGGGGTGCCTGGGTGGCTCAGTTGGTTGAGCGTCCAACTTCAGCTCAGGTCATGATCTCGTGGTCCGTGAGTTCGAGCCCCGCGTTGGGCTCTGTGCTGACAGCTCAGAGCCTGGAGCCTGTTTCGGGTTCTGTGTCTCCCTCTCTCTGACCCTCCCCCGTTCATGGTGTGTCTCTCTCTGTCTCAAAAATAAATAAACGTTAAAAAAAAAAAAGAAAAAGAAAAAACAATATCCTCTTTGCTGATGAGAAAAGGCACACTTCTTTAAAATTCTCTCTTTGACGGTCTCTGCAGAAGATGCTTTCAGAGTTGTACACCTCCTGCCAGAGCCAAGCTGGTTGCCTGGCTGCCCGACCTGTCTGCAGATTTCGTAGTTGTCTATGAAAGAATGGTGATAGGTTTGTGGTTTTACAGTGTGTATTTCTGTTCCCCCTTGCCCCTGTCCTACTGTAGTTTCTTTTAGACTTGTGTCTAGGTTTTTTTGGATTTGTTGTGCTGAATCCAACTTCTCCATCCACTTGGATACCGTTTTGGAAGAAAAGTAGCATCAGTGTCTTTAGAGATTAGATATTATGAATCTAAACGTAAATTCTTACTTGCCATGTATCAATCAATGGAAGTTTTAAAGTTAATGACTTATTTATGCTCTTAAATTAACTTTTATGACCTTTCAGTATTTGCTTACCTTAATGAGTCAATCCTTGTGTTGTTTTTCCTTTCTCTGTGGTAGAGATTAACCATTCCAAGCAGTTGCCCCAGAAGTTTTGCTGAGCTGTTACGTCAGTGTTGGGAAGCTGATGCCAAGGTATATAAATAAATATTCTTTTGGTCGTTGTTCAGAATTCTGAAATCTCACGTGTTTTCTTGGTTTTGAGTTTCTAAAACTTGGAGTAATAAGATTCCTTACAAAGCAAGCTGAATTGCTGCTTCTGTGAGTCCCGGATGGACTGTAAAGGCTTTCTGTTGATATCTGTTCATCTTGATCCTTAGAAACTCATTACTGGCTTTCTTACAGCATTCTGGCACTCTTGACTCAATGGAAAGAATTGCATTCCTTTGTTTTTAATCTCTAATAATAAGTATTGCACTTTCATGTTATAAAAATGGCTAGCACACAGTGCTCATTATATGCCAGGCACTGCTCCAAGCACTTTATGCACATTTGCTCATTTGTTCCTTAGAATACCTCTATGAAATAGGTTGTGTTATGACACTCATTTTACAGATGAAGGGTCAAGGCACACAGAAGGTAAGTAATGCTCAAGGCCACAGGTTAGCACATGGTGAGACTGGAGAAGGAACCCAAGCAGTCTGAACCAAAGACCAGGCAAAAGTAGCACTTCTAGAGAAACTAGATTCGTGATGTTTTTTAAGCTATCACAATAGAGTTGGAGACAGTCCAGAATGTAGACTTTCATGTGGTTATCACATTTGAGCATGAAGGCCCATTTCCTTTCCCTGCAAAGATCATTTTAAAAGACTCTCACATACATACGGAAATATTTATAGATAAAATGATAGGCGAGTCTTGGAGTTGCTTCAAAATAAAGTGAAAGGAAATAGATGGTGGTGTAGATTAAACAAGATTGGCCATAGATAATTTTTGAAGCCACGTGATAGGTATATGGAGGCTTGTTACGTTGTTCTGCGTTTGTATATGTTTGTAATTTTTCATATTAAAAAGTTAGAAAGTAAAACAACGTCACAGAAGAGAAAGACTCAAGAGAGGAACTAATCTTATAGTTCGAATTTGCCCACTCTGTCACTGAAATCTATTGCGAACTGACTTTTTTAAACAGATCTAAGACTTAAGAATGGAATTTCTTCCTTAATTTAAACTCCGTTCCAATCTGGCCCAGGAAGAATGCATGATGGTAACACAGTCTGTTCTATAGCATGTGTTTCTCTAGTGGGAATAATGCATAAACCACCGGTAAGTCTGAGAAACATGTTGGTGTAACACAGAATTCATGCTGAGTCATACCTGTTTCCTAGCACATCGACCCACACCATCAAGTGAGAACAGCTCAACACCAAGTACAGTTTGCAGAGCAGCAAGGGACACAGATCTGTGAGGCGCCTCCGCCCACGTGCTCCCTCGTGGCTGGATGGCTGCGCTTTGTCTTGGAGGAGTTTGTGGCTGGGTCTTCCCTGACTTGTACATGTCCCCTTGGCCCTGGTAACCAGCAACCTCAATCTTCGCTTTCACTCCTGTTCATCAAACTATCTTCACCCTCTTTAAAAGGAGAATCTTTTATTGACTTCGTAATGTTTTTTATTAATGAATTTAGGGGCGCCTGAGTGGCTCAGTTGGTTGAGCGTCCAACTTCGGCTCAGGTCATGATCTCACGGTTCGTGAGTTCGAGCCCCGTGTCAGGCTCTGTGCTGACAGCTCAGAGCCTGGAGCCTGCTTCGGATTCTGTCTCCTTCTCTCTCTGCCCCTCCCTTGTGCTCTGTCTCTCAAAAATAAATTAAAAAATGTAAAACAAAAAAAAATTAATTAAAAAAAAGAATTTAACATTTAAAAAATTCTGTTACTATTTTTATTTACTATGATTGTTTTTATTAGTATTCTGTGACAAAGCTGTATAGGTTTGGAATGGTCTGCCCCGCCTCTGTTTGCAGAATATGGGGTTTTGAAGCACTAAGAGAAATGCCTGCACTTTGCAGCTAATCCAGTAGAAAATGTAAGCAGCTATTTGCAAGTTTGCTCTAGAACATATATATTTTTTTAATGCTACCAGTCACACGTCCATTGTGGCATATATAGTCATTTTGGTGGTATTTTTCTCTCTGATACTTAAATAAAAATTTTACCTGAAATTATTTGCATTGAATTCGATTAACACAACTAAATCTCTATAACTGCAATTATATCTCAGTATGCAAAGCACGTTTTGAATTTCTTAATCAGAAGCTCCGTACTTCAGTAATTAAAATTCTAAGAATATACATTTTGGTGCATTAATGAAATGGTAGTGTAAACACCTAACACAGGAAGGACATCAGGCCCGGTGAAGCCATCAAGTTGGCATGTCTTTAACATGTAGCCAGCTTACCCTTCTTTAGCACGAGAGGAGTCTTGTATTCTAGCCAGGTGGAGTATAAAGTTTAAGACTGATTTTTATTTCCTACATTCAAGGCATTTTATTCTGATACAACTAATACATTCCTTCTGTATTTCATTGTACATCCAGCTGCGGCCCATGCTTCCAGCTCTCATGGTTGATCTCCAGCCATACCTTCCACACATCCCTTCCCTGGGCGTGCCCTCCTGTTTTCTTTCTTCCTTTGATTACTTCAACATCAAGCCCTCCCTGACTATTCTGTTTACTGCAGCCCATACTTGGTACTCCTGTTCCTAAACCACAATCTGGGCTAAGGCCTTACCTTTTGCTGTTGTATTTTTTAAAATCTCTTTTCTGTCTAAGTGGACTGCTGTCTCTTTGAGGGCACAGTGCTACCTTTGGCACCTTTGCACACATTTAGTAAATGGGTGCCCAACGTGTTAACTCAAGTTGTGTTATGTGCCAGACCAAGGCACATTTTAGTTCTCTGGCTAGAAGTCTGTAGCAATTCAGCCAGAAGTTGATGCCACTCCTGTGCACATATATAGAGCCATGACTGGTTACAAACCTTTCCTTTTTTTCCCAGCCTTTATGCTTTAAAGACATAGATAAAAAAAATATTCAGCTCACCTGTAGAAAAATGTTCTTTTGCAATGAGGAGGCGAAAGAGAATACAAGAGAAAGCTATTAGGTAAATGTCAAGTCATGCCAATGGCTTACACCAGGTGCTCAAAGTAGTTTATCAAAGAAAAAAAGAAGTAAAGGTGGGTAGTTTCCAGTTCTAAACTGGCATTTCTAAATAAGAAAAGAATAAAGCCCGGAGTTTGATAGGAATATCTTACTCTCGTGTGATAAAACATATTGAAAGGTTTAAGAGCCTTGCCCCTGATTTAGTAACTTGCTTCCCGTGTGACACTGGGCAATCCATATTTTTCTGAGATTTTCCTTATCTACAAAATGGAGATAATAAATAATGTATATAAATGCTTAATAAATGGCCCTAGGTGTAATTTTTTTAATGTAAGCAAAACCTACGTGAATACTAAAGGGAATGTAGGCCTGGGCCAAATACTGTATTCTGCAATCAGAATATCTATAAACCATCATCACCACAAAATTCTATATTGTTGTTGTTTTTCAAACGTTCACTTTGATAATTTCCATCTAATTGTGTATTCTACCTATAAAATTAAGGTTTTTCTAGGGGTACTTGTCACCTACTTACAAAAGAGTTTTACTTTATTTCAAGAATGATTAAATGTAGGGAAAAATATTCTTAGCCTCTCACTGCTTTTCCATGCAAAATGAAAATCCTGTATTATATAATTAGTTCCTGTGCAAACAATTAAAACATTTTTCCTTTTACAGCTGACACGTGGTAGGAGAAATTAAAATAGGAATAAAGTTAAGACTGTATTTTTCAAACTTCCTACTTAAGGCATTTTCTTCTTTGCTTATTACAAGGCTTACTGTGTGTCAGCGACACTTAGCTACTTAGGCCCTCTTCTTACACACACACATACAGGCACACACGCCCTTAAAAGAATACAATGAAGGCAGAATTCAGAATGAATAGCCCAGTTTTATATTCCTGAGAAGTAGAAAAATTGTCTTTCTTAAGGTAGGAAGCACTCAAGTCCTAAGAGCAAGCCACCTCAACGTTGTTCCTTCTTGTTTTTGTGCTCCTAAATTAAAATGCATGTTTTAATTGCTGCAACTGTAATTTGCTCAGAAATGGTATAATTATGAGGCATGATGAAGACAGAATGTGCATCATCCTTTTGTTATCGTTCTCCATTTTTGTTTTAACCTTTTGTCTCAGCCTTGGCTAGAGTCTAAGGCAACAGACAAGTGTGGTTACCGCTAAAGAAATGTGCCGAACCACCACTTTTTCAATCCTAGTAAACTGTGCGTTAGAGCTTCCCGCTTCCCAAACTAGTTACGATGTGGAGTCAGCACTGCAGACAATGAAGTCATAATGACTTTAAAATGGGGGGCTTTTTCTATCAGCAAGTGGTTGAGGAAATTTTAGTAGTTCTAACAGAGGAAGTAGCTTCTCCCCCAACATTGTAAGAATGTTCAAACATACAGAAAAGTTGATTGAATTTTATGGCGAACACTGGTAGACCTGTCACCCAGACTCCACCATTACCTTTTACTAAACTTGCTGTATCACAAAGATTTTTAAAGGATTTAACTTTTCCCTTTTAGGACTCCTTAATCCTACCCAAAAGAGAACTCGTACTTTCCGTACCTAGAGAAAAACTGTAATTATTCCAGCCTTAGGCCACATGATAGAAAAATGACGAGACTATTCTTATAATTTATTGAAAATAAGGAATATGGTTCCCTTAAACCTGAGTAGTCAGACAGTTGTAATAACTAAGTCAGGACACGGCATGCTATTTTATTTTGTTATGGTATGTCAAGCTTATTTTTTTGCTTGTGGATTTTCTCTTAAAGACCTACTTTCTTAAGTGCCAACAAGTTTATTATTTTCTCTTTTTCAGAAACGGCCATCTTTCAAGCAAATCATTTCAATTCTGGAGTCCATGTCAAATGATACTAGCCTTCCTGACCAGTGTAACTCATTCCTGCACAACAAGGCAGAGTGGAGGTAGGTAAGCCTTGCACCAAGTCATGGCCTCTGACTTTAAAAGATCGGCCTCTGGCTTTAAAAGATCGGGCCCAGCTCCACTGAAGAAGAAAACCAGTGAACTTGATGACACTCTAGAGTTTTGTTTTTTATGTTAAAATTTTTTGGAGATCTAGTAAGTCCTCCATTGCATACGTCTAAGTATTTGGAAAGACTATTACAATCATATCTCCTGAGACCGAAGACAGTTACCAGACATTTCTCTGTATCATACACTCTGTATTAGGAAGTCTTGGCATCTGTCCAGTGAGAAATGAAAATATTATTTGCCTAGGAGTTTGCAGAGTACTGGATGTGTTGATGGAGGAGGTAGGGAGACTATAAAAACACTTTTAAAAGAAAACTATTGATGTTATGAATCCTACTAAATTTTGTCAAGTGGAAAGCAAACTTAATAATGAGAGAATTGTAATGTGTGAGTGGAAGGAGCAAGCCCAGGATGAGACAGTTGAGCCAGGTCACGTGCTGCAGTTATATAAATAGCATGTTTGGGAGCTGACATTATTCCTCCCTGACTCAGCAGAGATTTAAGTAACTTATCTCTGCTCCTGATAGCCTTGGCGGTAACGTGACGCCTTACGCCACCTGCTGATGCCCAATGAATACTGCATGCACCTTGGAAACATCGAGTTGTTCACTCCTGTTCTTAGACGTTTCCTTGGGCTTTCTGTATGATTGTTTTACAGTAACCTTATTGGTTTTTATTCTTTTGAAATCTCTATCTGAGGCCAGTGAGTTAAGTCCGTTTTTATTTAGGGAAACAAAAGTCATACTCTCTGCTCAAATGTAGGTATGAGGGGGTTTCGTTCTGGACTTAAATAATTAACAAAACATGTAAGTTAATACTTGTTTCCTACAGTAAGAGACCAGCACAAATTAATCAGATCACTCTTGTTTCAAATCCGTGTAAGGGATTACTCTAGTATAAAGGTCAATGCTGCACAAGACTCAGGAGACCCTTTGCACTCTGACCTCAGCAGCCTTACCGTAAGAGCATAGTTCTGCCTCTTAATTTCTGGCTTTTAGTCCCTCAGTAGATGCATACTTCTTCCTTGTTCAGAGTCCTTGCAAATGCAGTTTCTTCTATATAAAACGCGTCCCTTTCGGCAGCATACCACCCTTGACACCCACATCTAGCTTGGCTCCTAGTCATCATTTAGATAGCAACTGAAATAACGTGTATTTAAGGAAGTGTTTCTGACCCTAGATCAGATGAGGTTCTACTTTATGTGCCCTGAGAGCATCTCCTTTAGAACCTCTACTGCTATTGGAATTAATAAGTAATTCTGTAGTTTGCTGTTTTATCTGTATCTCTCTGGCTGAAATGTAAAAGGATCAGATAATCTCTTTTGTTGATTACTATACCTACAGCATCTAGAATGGGCCTTGAACACAGCAGTTGCTCGATAAATATTTGGGGAGGGAAACACCATGGTGGCAGCAACAGTAAAAGACATTATGATATCATACAAGAGAATATAAATATGTAAGCTGATTTATTGACAGCTGATTTATTGACAGGTGTGTTTCTTACACTCATTCATTCACATACTCCAGAACCTCTGCCGAGGCAAGGCGCTCTTGTGTTGTGCCATGGTGATGAGCAGAACAGCCCTAGTGCATATGGAGTAGAGGGTCTAGCGTTGAACTACTGACTATAGATGCACAAGCAACTTATTATTACTACTTTGATAAGAATTATGACAGAGAATTAGTGGACATCTGAGAGTATGCAACCATGAAATCTAGTCTGACGAAATAATAAAAGGATTTCCTGAGGAGATGCTGTTTGATCTGTTATCCAAAAGACTAGTGGGATTTTAAAATTAGTGTATTATAATAGCCTTGAGATATGATACTAAAACTATGCCAACAACATCAGAAAATAGGGGGACAGTTGGTAAATCTTCCATAGAAAAATGTAAAAACCTCCTTTTGGCAAAAGTAGTGCCCACCGTAAACTTCCAGGACAAATGCCACACTGCCGTAACTTCTTTCCCCCTAGATAGTAGCTTGGCAGTTCCGGAAGTTTTTGGTCTCAGGACTCCATTACACTCTGAAAAACTATTGAGGACTACAAAGAGCTTCAGTTGCAGTGAGTTAGATCTGTCAGTATTTACCACATTCAGAATTAGAACTGAGAAAGAATTTAAGTATGTAGCTCTTGATTCATTTAAGTAACAATTTAAATCCTGTCTCTGCACTCAGCCTGCGGCACTGGCACATATCGTGAAGCCTCTGGAAGGGTCTGTGCACTTGTGAGAGAATGAGAAAAGGCACGTCATGTCTTAATGTTGTTCTGAAAACCACTTTAATCTCTTCGATCCTTTGAAAAGCTCCCACGGGCCCCCAGATCACACTTGGAAGACTACGGTGGTAGACAGAGTTACTGCCTTTAAAATAACATTTTAATTATATCATTCTAAAGGACATGAAAGGCATTTCACAAAAGGAGAACTCAAATGGCCAGTAAACATATGAAAATATTTAACCTCACGTACAATCAAGCAACTATAAGGGGACATAATTCATTTGCCAGATTGGCAAAAATCTACATCATGAAAATATCCAGCATAATAAACTTTCTAGTACATTGCTGGTGAAACTACTACCTTTTTGGAGGACAGTCTGGCAGTATAGATCGGCTGCCTCCACTCCACCACTGCCACTCCATTCCTGAGGAAATGAAAGGCTATACAAGAATGTACAGATATGCGCTTATCACAGCGTCATTTAGAATTGTAAATTAGAAAGGGCATAAGGTGCAATAGATTTTTGGTTTTTTGTGATTTTTATGGTTTTAACAACTGATGCTATCTCCATATACAGAATAGATGGAGCCATTTATGATAATACAGATCTGATAAATGACTTACAAATAGAGGCTAGGGTCCAGTATGATTAGAATGATTGCATTTTTTGTACTATAAACATTTACGTTTAGATGGTATGTGTACCTAAAAGTATCAAAAGGTCAGTGACACCAGTGGATAATTAAATTTGGGGAGAGTGTTTTCTATTTGGATAGCTTTATTTTCTACAAACCTGGATGGCTGAATAATAAATTTTTTTAAATGTCTAAAGATGAAAAGATGAGGGAAATAACATTGGTAATACATTAATGTGTTTTAGTAAAAAGCAAGCAGTTGCTTAGCTGGCTTCCTCCCTGGCTCCTTTGAGAAACCAGTTGATCCTGAGAGCTGGTGAGAGACTATGTTTCTTTACCTGAACCCTTAAACCAGTCTAAGAAGTAGCAGGGCTGTTTTATCTGAACGTGGCAATTGGTTAAAACCAGAGGGAATAATATTAGAGTAACAACACACACAACTGCCATTTATTATATTCTCACCAGATGCTCGTACTTTATCTGGATTATCTTTTTTTAATCCATACGGCAATCCTGACTTCTGTCACAGAGCAAAATGAGATGGATGGACATGTTAGGTCACCTGCCCAAGATTACACTAAGAGCCAGTACCAGAACCCACGTGGTCTGGTCCCACAGGCCTGCTGTGGTGCGCGCTCTGCGCAGCGCTGCTCCCGGACCGTGGCCGGCGCCATACCATCCGGTCATGACCATGCAGAGTTCACTTGATTCCTTTGAGCAAAGAGAAATACGAGAGGTTATGATCAAGGCAAAAACATCCCACTCTGTCCCACATACCAAAAAGAATCAAATGCTTTGTCACATCATCTGGATATTTCAAAGGGCAACACATTCAGACTGTCCTCTTTCTCCTGACTTTTGTCTTGTGTCTGAAACCACATGACTGCTGTTGAAAGCATGTGTAGGACATCTTGTGTTTCTGGGAAATGCTTGTTTTGTGGTAGAGCTTCCTTACACATAGACCAGATGAAACATTCTGTTTTAGAAAATTAAATGATTTTTATTACAATTCTAAATTTTATATTTAGTTTTGTTTTTTGAGAGAGAGAGAGACTAGGGGAGGGGCAGACAGAGAGGGAGAGAGAGACAGAGAGGGAGAGAGAGAATCTTAGGCAGGCTGTACACCCAGCATGGAGACTGATGCGGGGCTCTATCTCACAACCGTGAGATCATGACCTGAGCCGAAATCAGGAGCTGAACACTAAACCGAATGAGCTATCCAGTTGCCCCTTAAAATTCTTTTTAAAGCTAGGTTATTTAAAACCATATAAACTATGTTCTTTCCAGGGTGCCTGGGTGGCTCAGTCGGTTAAGCATATGACTCTGGCGCAGGTCATGATCTCGCAGTTTGTGGGTTTGAGTCACACATTGGGCTCTGTGCGGACAACTCAGAGCCTGGAGCCTGCTTCAGATTCTGTGTCTCCCTCTCTGTCTCTCTAAACATTAAAAAAAAATTTTTAAGTGAACTATGTTCTTTCTTTTGATCTAATAGATGATAGGAAAGAAATCTACAGTCAGATATTTCCTTGTTCGTATCTTCAGCTTGTTTCTCCTACTATTGATTTATTAGCAATAACAGCCATGATCATTAAGAACAGGAAATGTGTCACCCTGTTGCTCATGTTTGCAATTTTCATTGCCCCACATAACTGCCTTGTAATCGGCACTGAGTGAGCTGTGTGGCGCTGTGAGGCATGTTCAGATCTGTGTCTCTTGGCGGAATACTTTGCTGATTGTATTCCTCCCTTGTGATCAGAATACCCCCACCGTGGCACACCTTGTTAAAAACAAGAAATGGGCATCTGGGTTGGTTAAGCGTCTGACTTCAGCTCAGGTCATGATCTCAAGGTTTGTGAATTCGAGCCCCACGTCGGGCTCTGTGCTGATAGCTCTGAGCCTGGAGCCTGCTTTGGATTCTGTGTCTCCCTCTTTCTCTGCCCCTTCCTGGCTCGCTCGCTCTCTCAAAAATAAACATTAAATAAAAACAAAAAACAGGGTCACCTGGGTGGCTCAGTGGGTTAGGCATCTGAGAATTTCAGCTCAGGTCATGATCTCACGGTTCATGGGTTTGAGCCCCAATGGGGCTCTGTGCTAACAGTGTGGAGCCTGCTTAGGATTCTCTGTCTCTCTCCTCCCTCTCTGCTCCGGCCCTGTTAGCACTCTGTCTCTCAAAAGTACATAAACACATTAAAAACAATAAAACCAAAAAACAGATAAGGAAATTTAATCTTTGCGATCTGGATATTAGCACAAATCCTTTAATATATAACACTAGTATTCATATTATTTACTTACCATCATATATATAATATAGCTATTTTTACAAATTGACCTTGAAAAGATAATTACATTTCACTATTTTTGGCATGTGAAAAATTGATACTAGTGGAAGTCAACCTTAATTGGATTTGGGTTAAGAGAAAAACCATCACTTTCATCAACTAGAACACTTAAACTTTTAAAAACACCTATGTTTATAGAATAAGAAGGTTATATACATACATCAATAGATGCACTCAGTGCAAAAGAATCCATTAACAACACGGGGAGCGGGGTCATTGCGTCCCTCATGGTACATAACTTCCCACACTCCCTGCAGAAGCGGGGCGCCTGGGGCAGGGAGTAGTGTTGGGAAGTGCTGAGCCTGAGGAGCCGGGTTGAGGAAGCAGATTTTACTCAGTGTTTGTTTTTCTGTGTCACAGCTTCCAGCTTACTTAACCATTGGTCTGTTTTCCAGAAGGGCTCAAACTCACAGTTGGCTCCCAGAGCTGAAACTTGAGATGAACCCTTGCCTAAATTACAAGTGAAATTGAACGTGCTGGCCGCTTACCCCTGACCAGAGTATCCGTGCGATCATTCTCTTGGGCAGGGGTGTGGTGTGGCCTGCTGGAGGCACTGCACAGACAGCAGCCCAGCTCCCCCCACCACCTGCCACTGAGTGCCCCCCTCTCTGCTGCCTCCTCTCCTCACCCTCTGACCCCTTCAGTTCCCCAAGATGGCTCACTTTCACTTTCTTTGTTATAAAAGTTTAACCTAAGGTTTCCCACATTGATTTTTTTCCCTCAAATTTCCATTTGAAAAATAAACACACACTTATTTATGAATGGGCATAATCTTTTTGTCAGAAACATCAGGGATAAAATGTGGACTTGATGATAGTGATAATTCTGAAAGATTGCTGATTTTGGTGCCTTTCTTCAGGTAGTGTGACTGTTCTTATGTTCTATAATTTTCAAATGACACCAATAAGAGGAATGGAGTGTCGACGGCAGGTGCTTTTACACTAACTTGCTAACTCCCTGGCTCTGAGGTTCTTTTCAGATAACCAGAGAAGTCCAGTGTTGTACCCAAATCCAGACCCACCTCAGTAGCTGTTCCCTGTCTTAGATGTTGCCAAATAATACCTAGGACTTTTTTTTTATGTTTGTTTATTTTGAGAGAGAGAGAGAGAGAGAGAGAGAGAGAGAATCCCAACCAGACTCCATGCTGTGGCAGCACTTACCAGCTAATAACCAGTCAGCTGTCTCCAGGCCTTTCAGAAACTCAAGGGAAGGAACTTCCAGCTCTCAGAGCACAGTGACAGGCCTGAAGGAAGAAAATGACTTGTACTGAGCCATGTCATCAACAGTTCATTTTCTACAAAGGTTTCTATAACTGAACATATTCTAAGTAGTGAGGTTGATTGGCCTATAGAGACTAAGGAGGAAACTTTTAAAAAATTATTAGACTTCAAAAGAATCCTAGAGTTCATCTGATCCACACTTGTCGGATTATAAAAATTACCTGGGTTTTTAAAAAAACTTTTTAATGTTTATTTAGTTTTGAGAGAGAGAGAGAGAGACAGAACGTGAGTGGGGGAGGAGCAGAGAGAGAGGGAGACACAGAATCCAAAGCAGGGTCCAGGCTTTGAGCTGTCAGCACAGAGCCCAACGCGGGGCTAGAACCCGCGAACCGTGAGATCATGACCTGAGCCGAAGTTGGACGCTTAACCGACTGAGCCACCCAGGAGCCCCGGGTCTTTTATTAAATAATGGAAATTCCTAGTCCCTACCCAGCCCTACTGAATCATAAGCTCTAAGGAAGGGTCCTAGGAATCTGTATTTTGTTGTGTATTTATTTGTTTTTTAAAAAGCTGCCCAGGTAGTTATTAGGATCAGGCAGTCTGGGGAACCCTGGTATAAGATAATCATCACCCCCTACAACTGAGAAAACTAGGTCAGATTAATCAATTGATTGAGTTACCCAGTCAGGGAATTAGGCTAACCTGAATTCATTAGGGACAGGTGTTGATCACCCAACCTGAACATCATTTTCCCCATCTCTATATATGGGATTAGTACCGGTTTCTTGGGGCTGTTATGAGAATAAGATGAGACATTGTGTAATAGTGCTTTCTAAACTATAAAGGGCTAGTTTAATGTCAGCATTCATTAAACAGCTAAACCAGGACACCAGCTCCATAGCTCAGGCTCTACTCTCGTGGGTCTTCAGTACTTTGTTAGGAAGTATTTTGAGCTGATTTTTCCAGACTAGAAACTACCTACAGATTTTTAAGGATGTGACAGATTTCTTATTCTCTGATAGTTTCCTGTTTGGTTTAGAAGCACAAGTTTTGCCAGACTCACAGAAATAAAGGATCAGATTTATGGTTACCAGAGTTGGTGGTGGGGACAAATAGGAGGAAGGTGACCAAAAGGTATAAACTTATACTGGGTGCCTCCGTCCGTTAAAGGTCCGACTCTTGGTTTCTGCTCAGGTCATACCTTACAAGTTCCTCAGTTCTTGGGATTCTCTCTCTCCCTCTCTGCCCCTCCCCCCACTTGCTTATGCACACTCTCTCTCAAAATAAAAAAGATATAAACTTCTAGTTACAAGGTAAGTCAGTCCAAGGACTATAATGTGCAACATGATGACTACAGTCTAATGTATCATATGTATGAAAGTTGTTTAGAGAGTACATCTGGAGAGTTCTCATCACAAGAAAATTTTTTTTTCTTTTTTTGCTTTCTCTATATGAGATGATGGATGCTAACTAAATTTATAGTGGGCATCATTTCACAGTATGTGTAAGTCAAACTATTATGCACTACACTGTAAACTTACACAGTGATATATGTCAATGATATCTCAATAAAACTGGCAAAAATCACAGTCTTTTATTCAGCCTTTCATTTTAGCCTTTTAAGTTTATTTTTGAGAGAGAGTGTGAGCAGGGGAGGGGCAGGGTAAGCGGGGTTGGGGGAGAGAACCCCAAGCAGACTCTGCACCATCAGTGGAGAGCCCTACGTGAGGCTGGATCTCACTACCATGAGATCTTGACCTGAGCCAAAATCAAGAGTCAGAGTCTTAACGACTGTGCCACCCAGGCACCCCAGCCTTTCACTTTCATTACACATTCTGATGGGCCACTAAGCATTTAATAACTCTTGAGCAAAGCTGAGACTTAAACCAGTCATCCCTGTGCAGGTGCGAAATTGAGGCAACTCTTGAGAGGCTGAAGAAACTAGAACGGGACCTCAGCTGTAAAGAGCAAGAGCTGAAAGAGCGGGAAAGACGTCTGAGGATGTGGGAGCAAAAGCTGACGGAGCAGTCCAACACCCCGGTGAGTGCTCCCCATGGGTGACTCGGCCCCCAGCTTAGAAGAGGCAGCATGGCGGCCCTCCCCTCCCCCACGGCCACCTCCCTCACTTCCTGCCTTATGCCTGCACGGTGAAGGGCCTGCGTTTACACTCAAGTAGCGCTCGGATCTCATTTCAATTAACAAAATGCCAGAAATTTAAAAGAAAAGCTTAGCCTATTTCTGGCCCTTTCTCTAAGTACTGTTATTCTGTCAGCGTGTTTGTATATTAGAATTACAAAAATAAAATGCAGTGTATTTTCGCACCATCTGTTAGATCCCCAGAACACGTGCCTAACGGCTGATTAACTCCATAGAGCCCATCAGGAATTAATAAGCGGAACGCCGAGGCAGCTCGCTGTCCAAGAGTCTCCATGTGGCAGAACTTAAGCAAGTTTTCCTTCTAAAAGAGAACAAACTTGGTGACATATCAACGACCAGCATTAATATTCCTTGCTCCATTTAGTGTTACAATCACTGCAGCAAAAGATTGGAAAAAGATGTCCCTTGTGACAAGCCTCTAATATTTACTACTTAAGAACTACCTTGTTTTTCTCCCAAGCTTTTTATTTAGAGGAAGATAAAAATTCTTCATAAGGATTTCACTATTTCTGTATTTAGCTTATACTTATATATTGACATGATATATTAAAGTCTAACCAAATTTCAGGATTCTTCCCTATTTTGAATGGTTTATCATCTCAGGAATTTAGTAGATCATTGGCTTTTTTGGTTTTTTTAATGGGTAAAATTTGTCCACTTTATATATTTTTTTCTACCGTTTATTCATTTTTTGATAGAGACAGAGAGTGAGTGGGGTGGGACAGAGAGAGAGGGAGACAGAATCTGAAGCAAGCTCCAGGCTCTGAACTAACATCACAGAGCCTGATGCAGGGCTCGAACTCATGGACCACGAGATCATGACCTGAGCTGAAGTCGGACGCTTAACCGACTGAGCCACCCAGGTGCCCCAATATTTGTCCACTTTGAAAACCAAGTAATGGTAAGATTAAAAGTAAAATTATGTATTTTAAATTCATTTTTGATAGTTGCTGCGGTAATTTTACCCAAAAAATACTTACATGCTCTTCACTTGGTGATCTTCAAAAAGCTTTCCTATTTTTAAAAGCCTTAATCACCATTAAGCAGCCAGTGCCCAGTTGCAGAGTATCTTCCAATGTCTAAAGAATAACATAGTTTGCCTCCTTTTCCGGTTTATGTGGAAAAGCAACCTGATATACAAAAAAAGGGAAATACAATGAAGTTAAGTATTTATTATCAGATTTAACTTTTTCCAAAATGACTCTGGCCATCCACGGACTTCCAAAGCAAGAACTGAATTGCTATACATAAGACTGCCATGGGACATTAAAAAGGTACTACATTTCGTAAGTTCATTTGGCTCTCAAGAGGGAAGTCAAGTCTGGTTGAATTGGTATCAACAGGCGGACTCAGAAAGCATCACCCTAAGGGTCTGCTGGGAGCACGGCTTCTCCCAGAGCTGAGGAGAGGCAGACACATGGCTGTCTTCTGAAGGCTGAGAGGCGGTTTTTTTTTTTTTAAAGTACATTGAAATCTTAAGCTATAAAGCACTGCATGGCTTGACTCTTTCTAAATGTAGCATTGTAAGAAAAAACTTTAAACTACCTATTACAGTATGCTTTAGAAGCTTTCTTTGGTTTATCGGCATTAATTTTGCTAAGAAATCATGGGCTGCCTTGCACACATTATTGCTATTAGTAACATAGTTGTGTAATAAATAATGAAACAGTAGGAGTGCTCAGTAGGTTGTATGCTTGCGTTTTAACTCCAGAAAACTTTCTGTAAAGGAACCGCTCTGAAGGCTACCGTCTAACAATGGACAGCATGAAGCATGATCTCAGAGTTTCTTCCTTTTTTTTTTTTTTTTTTTTTTTTTTTTTTTTTTTTTTTTTTTTTACCTATGAGGGCTAAGTTTTCTTTCTTACAGTACTTGCTTTTAATGTCTCTTCTGCTTAGAGCTCATATTTCTGAAGGAAAGAAAGTTTGTGCTCAGGTATTTTCTAAGTGGGTATTTTCTTTTATCCTCACATCAGTTTCTAGTTGACTTTAAATGAGGTTTCTGAGAGAAAGATGAAATAAACCTTTTAAAAAGGAAGTGGCTGGAGGTTTAGGTTTTCTGTCTGTAGCCTCATCTTAATTATAAAAGTTTAACATTTATGTAACTTCATAAAAAATAGTATTATTGGATTTATTTCAAGGAGGGATGCCATTTACTTTCCTGAAATTAAAACATTAGTTGAAGATATTAGAGAAGAGGAATTCTCCCATACAGAAATATAGACAGTGTTTGTTTTTTAATTATTGTTGCAGCTTGATGTAAAAATTTGATTTCTCTTAAACATCAAAGCTTATTTGAGAGACATCTGTTGAGAAGGCGAGGACAAAGCTCTCTAAAGAGAATCTAACAATTGAAAACAAATTTGAGAAGCTGCAAAGTTTGGCTGCAAGGAAAATAATATCCTGTTTCCAGTGTTAAAGGATCTAACACAATTTTTTCCTTCTTTATAATTGTATTTTTTAGCTGAAGCATGTGAAGTTCTTATTGATGTAACAACTCTGGAAATCTTTTCCTAATAGAGTAAGATATTTTTTAAAAGCCCAACTCCAGGGGGCGCCTGGTTGGCTGAGTCAGTAGAGCATCTGACTCTTGATCTCAGGGTCGTGAGTTTGAGCCCCGTGTAGGGTGTAGAGATTACTTAAAAAAATAAAACTTAAAAAAAAAAAAAAAAAAGAACCTCAACTCCAACTTCAGTTTAAAAATTAGGAAACTGGCCCTAAAAACCATATTTATACCCAGGATGTAAATCTGTGCACTATTTATCATAAATTTACCCATATTTGAACACCACCAAAAATATAAGCCTTAATTTGCTTATTTCTCAAAAGAAGAGGCAGTAACACTTTTCAGATCCTGACAGACTCCTGAAATGAGTAAGACCAGAATTTATGGGAATAGGTTAGTTGTTCAAAATCATGATGTAAGGTAGAAAATAGAGGTCTACCACTGTGAGAGGGGGAATTCCTAGAAAAAAGAGTTCTACTACAAGAAGGGCACTTAGAGAATAGAGCAAAAGGTAACAGTCTAAATTAGTACTAATTTTCTCTCCCCCAGATTTTCATATGTATTTATGTCCTTAAGTATTAGAGACAGATCTAGAATTTGTTCACTAAGTGAATTAATTATTTCATAAGTCAAGTAACTAGGTTTCTATCTGGTTGTAATAAATAATAAGCAGAAACTACTGAATCCTAGACTCCTTTTTAATTTAGAGTCAGATAGTAATCTAGATAGAAAGGAGATTGATGGCCCAGATTTCTGTAGAAGGGTATTGACTACTGAACTGTCTTTATGCTTCCTCTGAACTTGATCCTTTGGTACAAGGTTCCTTCATTTTTTACTTGAGATTTAATCTCTACTTAATTTCTTTTTTTTTTTTTTAATTTTTTTTTTTTTCCAACGTTTTTATTTATTTCCGGGACAGAGAGAGACAGAGCATGAACAGGGGAGGGGCAGAGAGAGAGGGAGACACAGAATCGGAAACAGGCTCCAGGCTCTGAGCCATCAGCCCAGAGCCTGACGCGGGGCTCGAACTCACGGTCCGCGAGATCGTGACCTGGCTGAAGCCGGACGCTTAACCGACTGCACCACCCAGGCGCCCCTACTTAATTTCTTTTTAATTTAATATTTAACGTTCTGTGTGCAAGTGAAATTGGAAAAAATTAAGAGGGATCCTAAAAACTGTTTTAAGCAAAATGAGGGCTTAAAACTTGCAACTTCCTTCCCATTTGAAATCTGGCCTGCTGTGGCGCTCTGCAAACTTTTGGTTGTGGTTTACTCTGTCATTTATAAATTATGGCAAATATGCTGGAGCCAAACCTGCCATTAAATACGTTTTTACAGGATTCCCTACATTCGTTTATTTCACTAATCATTTACCTTCTGTGCAGCACCCACTAATTTTGTGGTATCTGTTTCCTTTATTTAAATTGGTCCTAATTTCTCTTTTTGCTTCTGTCCTTTCTTCCCTCACGATAGCTTCTCTTGCCTCTTGCTGCAAGAATGTCTGAGGAGTCTTACTTTGAATCTAAGACAGAGGAGTCAAACAGTGCAGAGATGTCATGTCAGATCACAGCAACAAGTAACGGGGAGGGCCATGGCATGAACCAAAGTCTGCAGGCCATGATGCTGATGGGCTTTGGGGATATCTTCTCAATGAACAAAGCAGGAGCTGTGCTGCATTCTGGGATGCAGATAAACATGCAAGCCAAGCAGAATTCTTCCAAAACCACATCTAAGAGGAGGGGGAAGAAGGTCAACATGGCCCTGGGGTTCAGTGATTTTGACTTGTCAGAAGGTGACGATGATGATGATGATGATGATGATGATGACGGTGATGAGGAGGATAATGACATGGATAATAATAGTGAATGAAAGCAGACAGCAAAGTAAGAAAATTGAAAATGTTCGGCAAACCAAAAGAAACTTGCTACTCAGTCTGTACGAAAACCAATAAGGAGGTAGAAAAGTAAGCACGGAATGTTTAAGCCAATCACATTTCTATGACAGTCATTTCTTTAATGATTTTACTTTTTTTTTTTCCTGCTTACAGAAAAATGGGGGTGTGGGGGATGGTTAAGCCAGAAAGGTATATTTAATGAGTCAGCAAATGTGGTGCCTGATTATAGAAATTTGTGACTCTATTATACAATATAGTATTTTTCACAACTAATTATATTCTGGCTTTTTTTTTTCAAGCAAATACTTTATACTTTGATTTGATTTCATTTATTTAATTGCTTAAGAAAACTTACATTTTGAAAAAGCACTCTTAACTCCTAATTCTTCTTAGACACTGATTTTCTTGTAACACACTACATTTCTTTTTCTTCTGGCAATATGCTGTGCTGTCAGAAATAATTGAGAGTGACTACAAAATCCAACA